GTCAGGTAATATCTATATCTAATATATATATTTCAATTATTGGAAAACTCCATCCTTAAGTTTTGATCTCCGAAGTCTTGAAGCAAAAGTTTAATTCCTAAATGTACTGCATATTCCAAAAATTTTATACTTATTAAAAATTGAATAATAAATGGAATATTAACCTTAGCAATATATTATAAAGTATGAAACGGAAAGCATATAAGTATTTATTAGAAGTAACAAATGAATGGTTGAAAATAATATACCGAGAACTAAAAACAGGTAATGAAAAAAACCTTTCTTAACTAAATTGTATCTCAGTAAAATAATAGAAAACACGGGTTTTAGAAATACTTTTATTTCAGTTGGTATATTTAGATGTATTAAACTGAAAACATTTTGTTTTACTCAGCTCTTTGCAGTCGTTCTTCTTACTGCCGTTGTCATGGCAATGGGAGGATACCTAGCCGCTCCGGCCTATGGTCATGGATACGTCAGAGGAGATTCAGCTGTCACTTATAGTTATGATAACCAGCGAGCTGCTCCCTATGGTGGATACTATGGTTACGGCTACCCTAGACATGGTTATGGACATGGATACGGCTATGGTGGATACGGTTACCCTGGAAGCTACGGTGGATATTATGGTGGTCACCTTGGTGGACTAGCTGGCTACGGTTATGGCCATGGTTTGGGCTACGGATATGGTTATGGTCATGGATATCATTAAAGTAAATAAAATATAATTTAATATATTAAAAAGAGCATGAATACATTTATGTGTACATTATGTTTTATCCAATAAAACAGATTGATGAGATTTAATTTTTACTGCTGATGAAGTTTTAAAACTTTGTATTTAACAATAAACTTAAAAGTTTAAACAATACTTTTGTTTTAACTAATATTAATACCAGATAACAGAGCTTATAGCCATACAGAGGTGGCGCCAACTGTTAGTGGTCGTAAGATACCATAGAAAATTCTCCTCGAAAACTTTACTTTTGGGCTAAAACAAACACTGAAACACATTTGAAATTTCAAACATTTACACCCTGAAGGGGAATGAATGTTAATCTTTTACATACTTTGGAAATTATTACTAATACTGAGAAAAATGAACGCAATTTTGTAATGATATTATAAATTCAGGAGCAGGAAAATAATCTAACCCAACGTAAAACATTTCATATACATAATATTATGGATATGAAAATGGCGAAAAAAGTTGGATCCGTCGTTATCATTTTTGGCATGAAAATGAGGAATAATATTCTACATAAGTCTGCCACGTTTCATCAAAATCCGATTATTTTTGACTGACTTATAGCAAAAATAATGTGAAAAAATCGGTTCCCATGTTAACAGATTGGAATTTTTTAAATTTGCGTGACCTTGCTGTGGTCTTAATCTTCGCCTTTGACTCTCCAAAAACTAATCTCTTCTAAATTGGGCCACAATCCAAATACATACCATGTTTCGTCCAAATCCATTTAGCCGTTTTTGAGAAATCTTGCTGACAAACAAACAAACACACACACACTTAGAAAACTTC